CAGGGCCTTCAGTCTCCGGCGAGAACGCTTAGCCCACTCGACCACAGAGCTAGCATCCAATGGTGTTAGTGTCTAACATCAACCAATCTACTAAATTGTTCAATTATCTTCCATTGTACTGAGGTAGATACCTGTCTGTACCCGACACCGATTAGCTCCACTGATCACGACTTCTCACTGGAACTCCGAGCAATCTCTCACGAATTTAGTCACTAGTGAGCACATGGTAATTATCATTATAGGTGTCGTAGAGATTACTAAGTTTTTAATTGAAATCATGAACTGATTGATGTTAGAATAGCGTTGAAAACCTGAAAGCACTGAACAGCCGTTTCGTCCTATTTTAGGACTCCTCAACAATGCACATCTACGATCTTGCCTCACGACCTTTGAACCTATATTAATCATATGAACTAATGTTTTGTATTTCATTTCATATGAGATAAGTTAATATTCTTCTTTTTAAAGTAAAATGTTAATGAAGATCTCTTGTAAAATATTGAACTTTGTGTCTATTGCCAGGTACTGATGTCAAACAACAATCTATAATCAGTAAATTGAAAGATAATAATGGTAAGCTATTGATTGAATAAGTTACAAGAGGATAAAAGATTTAAGAAGTTTTTTCTTTTTTCGTGTGTGTGTGTGTGTAACGTTTGTTGTTTTTAAATTTACTTACTTAGTTACGGTTGTGGCACCTTTCGAGAAAGTGTATAGGTTGCTTATCAGTATCCTTTATCCAACTCTATCCTAGGCAATCGTTTCCTTTCTCTATCTTCTGATGGTTGACTAGATTATAAAGACATTGACAGATTGCTTAATGTAACTATATGATGTAAGTATTCACAATTGATTGATCACTGGTTGGTAATCAGTGTCATGTATGTTAGGTTGTTCTTCGTGCAGATCGAACGCTATCGACGAAGTTGTTATGTGGCCACTAGTGTAAGTGACTCGAAATTATGTACATTATGTTGAGATAACGGGGTGGTTAGAGGTAGTTCACAGAACCTAACACACACAATATTGATCACCACTCACATAGCCCAGTGGCAACATCTTTGACGGTGAAGCTATGTGACATGGGATCAAATCCGTTGGAGAGCATCAGTTTCTTCAAGATTACAGTTACACCTTGCTGACAAGTGTCAAGTAGCACAAAACCCTAGTTCAAGGGTTTCTTCTTGACTACCTCCAACCACCATCTTATGTTGTATGTATGTAAATATTCATGGAAATTTAATTTTTATAGTATTTGTCAAATAATTACAGTATAAATACTGACATTGATGTTTATCTTTAAGAAAGCATTTGTTCAACATCAAAGATGAATACATAGTTTTATAGTTTCAATAATAAAGAGTCGAATTCGACTAATACTTGTGGTCACTTGGTGTTGTTTTACTTGTATCTTCCAATTGATATTTAGCACTATAATTCATTAGGTCAATCAATCAGCCAGCTACAACGTAGGACCCATTAGGGTTGATCAGACTTCCAAGATAAGTGAAGTTGTCGACGCTTTCGACTACTTCACTCCCTATCCTTAGTTCAGGTGTTGACGCGGGCCAGTCCTGGAGCAACAACTTGCGTTTGAAGGGGAAGAAACCCATTCCAAACATCCTGGTATTGTTCCTCAGTGCTACCAGAAAACTCTGCATTTTATCAGCGTCTTTACCAAACAGGACTATGTCATCAGCGTATTCTAAGTCGATAAGTAGACCTCCTGGAAGGAGATCAATAACGAGAATTCAGTCGACGAGAATGTTATTTCCATTTGTAGGTCTATGATGAAGTTAAACAAAAATGGAGGAAGTGGACAGCCTTGACTTATACTACTTGAGGTTTCAAAAGTAGATGACAGTTCGCCATAAGCTCTGACTCGACTGGTACTGTTCGAGTAAAGAGCCTGTACAAGTTTTATGTACTTCTGAGGTAGGCCTTTCAATGACAGACACTGCCACAGAATCTCGCGGTCTACCGAGTCAAATGCTGCTTTTAAGTCGAGAAAGACCACCATTGTCGGACGCTGATAATTATGCCTGTGTTCTAGAATCTGACGAATGGTGAATATGTGGTCGATGCAGCCATGACCAGGTCTGAAGCCAGCTTGAGTCTCTCGTGTTTGCAGTTCACGAGTCTTAGTTAGGCGTCTGATAATTATCGAGACTAGTATTTTAGATACTATATTAGTTAAACTAATCTCTCTATGATTGTCACAGGATGATTTTAACCCTCTCTTATATATTGGGAAGATAAGTGAATTGATCAAGTAAATAACACCAAACGAATATAACTTCATTCCATTGCACAAGCACATGGCTATCAAAACTCAGTAGCTAAGCGGATAACTAAATAGCATTTGAAGTGGATGGTATTTAGTTCGTTTCTCAGAGTAAATATCAACTATGAAATGAAAGTACATCCAGTTGACGAATCCAAAAGAGGACGAAACGTTCATCTTGGATTCCATTGCTAGTTACTATTCATCTTTACTTATAATAATTATGATTATTCAAATGTTCTACTATGTCATTTCAAGATAATATTCAAAACATAATAAAAGAATTTAGAAATGCTGAAAAACAAATCGAGAAGTTAACAGGTAATTTTTTAAAGGGTTGTATACGTTCATATGAATAAGATGTGAAGTGTGTGTGTGTGTGTGTGTAGTTTAATTACATTCGATATAAGACAGTTATACATCTTACATCATATGGAAGATGATTATTCAATATAATGAATTGATTCGAGTGAGATGTGAACAATGTGATCGAGTGATGAGTAGTTTGTATATCACATTGAATGTGTTGACGAGACTCTAATTTATGGATGACCATTGAACGAAACTTCAGTGACCGTGAGGAATATTAGCCAATCAGCAAACAGTCCGTATGGAGTAAAAATATATTATACAAAATCAAGGAAATAAAGTGGATACACTTCTTTAACGTGGTTCAAAAACTTTTCAAGATTAGAAAGAGGTTCAGAGGTTCTAAAATGGAAATGCATCCAGTAGAGGAAATCATACATACCGCTACAGAATAGTCGGAAGCTCGAGTCATGATAAAGTCTCAAATACTCTTTCTGCCTCGGTCACATAACTTCAATATTGTTTATGTGCACTCCGCTTGTTGAGTAAACAAAATGCTACATGAGGATAACCACACGATGTACATAACCAAGTCTATGTAGGCATCTTCACTCTCTCCAAATCATCCGTATTTATTGTAGTACCTGTCTGTAGCCAGTGTTACTGGTGCTTTTATTATCCAGTTCTCAATAATTGTCGTAGTTAAGAATAATATAAGGGTTTTCATCACGAACTGAAATCAGTTATAATGCCAGGAGTTTATTTAACCAAAAGAATGAAAGGCTTTCGCGTTCAAATCCGAGATCTATTATCTTATACCTGATTGATCCGTCCACAAATTGTAGTCTTGCCGTTTTATTTGTTATAGTTGCTAAATGATCACATTTTGTACAAAATTCCCTGTGAACCGATCATACGTTAGCCTTAAGCACTGAAGTTGGCACTGTAACCTTGAAATCTTTAAACCGCTTCTGATTGGCTCATCCATAAATTAGAGTCTTGCCAATGTGTTCGATCCTATTTCCAATTTGAAGATTGCGATTGTTCATTAATGTGATGTTCCATACTAGAAAGATCTAAGATATTCGATGCTACTTGATTTTCAATAAAGGTGTTGTTAAGATCAGATTTTGATGTAAAACACAATAAACCATATTCACTTGGTATTGTTTTACTTGTATCTTCCCATTGTTATTTAGGATTGTAATTGATCAGTCTGTTATTGGTCTATGTGTATCCTGTGAGGATTGCTTGAATATTGCTTGACGTCACAAACTTTTTAATCAAAGATGGATAATGGCTAGCAGTGGAATGGAGGATGAGCATTTCGTTTTATTTTGGACTCGTCAGTTGGATGTGCCTGCAGTCCTGAAAAACAATCGGAAGATACAAGTCAACAACACCAAGTGAACATAACTTCACCCCATTGCATAAGTACTTGGAGATCAGGGCTTAGTAGCTATGTGCATAAAGTGATTATGTTTGAAGTGGACCGTATTGGGCTCATGTCGCAGAGTGAACATCAACTGTGTGATGCAAGTACATCCAGTTGACGAGTCTCAAATAGGACGAAACGCACCTCCTAGATTCCATTACTAGCCACTATCCATTTTCGCTTAAAATGTTTAAGTGACAATAATAAATTCAGTTGTTACTATCAAATAGCATACCAGTTATTTGGGAAACATTCATACAATTAAATTAAACGAATCGTCATTTCACATGTCAGATATTTTGTTCACTTTCAGAATTAGCTAATAAAATTCAAGGAAGCTTCATGATTGTTGATTACCGTCTACTTAAATATCTGAGCTACCTGTTTCTGGCATTTAGACATTTCAACAAGTTATCTGTGTTCCTTATTTGTTTTTAACACAATTGATTGTATAATTTGCTGTACAAATTAGGAAAGAGTTCAATCAGAGACATTGTGGTTGCTAGCAATATACATCAAAAGGAATATACATTAATTAGATATAGATTAACTGGACTGATAACATCTAAACTAGTGACCATTCAATATGTTATCGTCAAAGTCGACCAAGAAGTAATTCGAGCACCTAATTTTAAGGGAAATTTGACCCATTTTTGGGGAAATTTCGGGGTTTTAGGGCCATTTCCTCAAAATTTCCCCAAACCTGAGGATATTCCCCAAGATTTCCCTAAACCTTGGTGAAGGTTATTTGACTTTGGCGATTTTCCCAAAGTTAGAAGATTGAGTAAGACATAGAAACTCTTTGAAATACTTTGTTCTGAGTATTCTATATTGTATTAAAGATATAACATTGAATAAAGCCATTAATAATAATAAAATCTATTTCAGATCAATTGAAGAAGACTGCAGATGTATATAAACAAGTCAATGAATGTATGTAATGAAATGATTGAGTTATGTAATAAAATTTGAATGATTTTAGATGTGAAGTGTTCAAATGAACAGTTAGAAGCCAAAAATGAATTAAAACTTATGGAAGGTTAGAATAGTGAGAATAATATTTCATATTAAATCCATATGGTTATTATCAGAAGGGGTGTTGTGGAGATTGTAGTAATTTCAACAGTTGAGATCATGAATCAATTGAAGCTAGACCACCATGGAGAACCTCGAAGCATTGGAAGGCTGTTTCGTTCTACCACGGGACTCCTCAGCAGTGCTCATCCACGAACCCGCCTCGCGGGGTTCTAACCCAGGACATATCAGTCTCGCACCAGGCGCTTAACCACCAGACCACTGAGCCGGCATCCAATGGTGTTAATGTCTAACTTCAACCAATCCATGAAGTTGCGCCACCGTACACCATTATCTTCAGTGAGTTACTATCTCACGACTGACCCGGTTCAACTCCACTGGTCACTGCTTCTCACTAGAACTCCAGGATATATCTCTTGAAGCCAGTCACTAGTGAGCATATGTTGATTAGTATCAGAAGGGGTTTTGTGGAGATTGTAGTAATTTCAACAGTTGAGATCATAAGTTAATTGAAGCTAGACCGCCATGGAAATTTTGGGATCGAATATTTCGCACTACTGAGGAATCCCACAATAGGATGAAACGGACCGTCATTCATTGCTTCCAGGTTTTCCATGATGGTCTAGCTTCAATTAACTCATGATCTCAAATGTTGAACTCATATGGTTATTGTTTTACTTCTATCTTTTCCATTGATGTTTAGTATTTTAATGGATCAGTCTCTCTTTTATTGGCATATGTGCATACTGTACGTAATGTGTTGATAATGCCTTCACTCACAAGTATTATAAGTAGAGATGGATGATGACTAATAGTGGAATTCAGGACAAGCGTTTTGTCCTATTTGGGACTCATTAGTCGGATTTACTTACATCTCAAAGTTGGTATTCATTCTGGGACTCGAATTTAATACCGTCAACTTCAAACACTATTGTGTTGTTCACTTAGCTACTGAAACTTGATAGTCACTTACTGGTGTAATAGGATGAAGTTTAGATTCGTTTGATTATTGTTTAATATGACTATTACTATTGATGTTTAACACTACAATTGATCAGTCGATATGCGCGTTCTAGATTCCACTGCTAGTTACTATCCATCTTTTTGTTAGAATGTTTAACATTGTTTCCATCCGAATTTTGAATATACATTGTCGTTTTTTCGGAACTCATTCATATTTCAATAGTAATATTTATGTATAAAAAATATGATAAATGAAAGTGGTCGAAGCCTTTCAGGGAATGGAATAGTATTGATTCATCTAATATATTATTATTATTAATTATTATTTAGTCACTGCCCGGATGCCCAAACCGAAGCAGGTGGTTTTCTTAGGTGGGAGGGGGGCCACACCCTAAGCATTTAATCTAAAGGTCTAATCCACAAGACAGTAGAGCAACGTCAGTAGATTCAATCCTATGGTACTCAATGACCAACGATTGGTTCATACGCCATTTGTTCTGCTCAGGATCCTGGAGTCCATGTGCAATATTGGTTTGGAATCAGGGTTTTACAACTCCCCTAGGTAGATCCTCCGTGTTCACAAACCCGGTTAAAGCGCCAGACATTCGTTTTTCGTCCTCTTAATTTCGTAGAAATATACCCTCGCTATGAGAAGGCAATGAGTAGGATTTCTCAGGCAGTGATTGTATGCACGTAGACATGTGAGAGCATTCGGAGAGGTGGGAGTTTACTCTCCCCGCCCTCGGAAGTATCATTTGTTCAATCAATTACACCATTATATCATTGGTTATGGAACATTGAAGAATAAGAATGTAAGAAAACACTAAAAGAATTCGAATGAATACTTAGAATCTATGATGATTATTACATTGTAATGTCATTTAAGATGTATTCATTATATAATTGTTATTATGAATTTGTAAACTATTTTAGAATTTGTAAAAACGATAGAATCCCTAGAGGATACGTATCGTGAGTACTATAGTATACCTTTTATGTTTATTTATTTGAATACATAGATCATTTAATTTGTATGACGGTTGTTATACTAGCCGGGTGACCAAATCAAAACAGTTGATTTTCTTACAAGGCCACATCCGGAGCCTTCGACTTAAAGGTTTGACTCACAAGGCAATAGAACAACGTCAGGAAATGCATTCCTATGGTGGCCAGTGACCATTAACTGGTTCATACGCTATTTGTTCTGCTCAGGATCCTGGAGTTCATATACAGCATTGATTTGGAATCAGAGTTTTTCAATTCGCCTTAATGGACTTTCTGTGTCTAACAACCCGGTTAGAGCATCGGATATTTACTTTTCATCGTCTCAATTTTATAAACAACAGTAATGCCGAGAGAAGGCAGTAAGTAGGAGTTCCCTGGTAATGGTTGTATGTATGTGGTCATGTGAGAGCATTTGTCGAGAGAGAGAGAGAGAGAGGGAGAGAGAAAGAGAGCTGACTCTTTCCACTCTCGACCGTACCATGTCATTTGGTATAGATGAGTTGTTGAGATATTTGAATCCAGTAAGTTAGAAAGTGAAGTTCAGATAAACAACCAATAAATAACAGGTTACACTAGAATGAAATATTGGATCACAGTTGAGGAAAATTCATCATTAATTGAATTGACTAGTCTAAGTTATAAATACTTATCACATGTTTTTGATGAAGTTTTGTTCTATGAGCTGGATGGTATGATCGTGGAGCTTTCATCGTTCTTCTGAACGACATCATCAGCACAAACTTCAGATGTTCTCAATATCTTGAGTTCATTTACTGATGAGGTTATTGATATATAATTAAAGAAATTTCTATACTAGAACAAAAAGTCCTATACGATGTCAACGGGTTATCAGAATGGGTTTTGTGGAGATTTTAGGAATTTCACTTATTGAAATCATGAGTCAATTGAAGCTAGACCACCATGGAAAACCTGGAAGCACTGGACGGCCATTCTGTCCTAGTATGGGACTCCATCCCGCACCCTGCGAGATTTAAACCCAGAGTCTATCAGTCTTGCGCCAGGTGCATAGCCAACTAGACCACTGAGATGTTGGACATCCAACGGTGTTAATGTCTAACTTCTACCAATCCGCGAAGTTGCGTCACCGTACACCATCATCAACTTTTATTCGACAACTGTAATAGGAAATATTATAGTACATTCTACAATATATACAATATAATCCAATATTTATATGATTTCATGTAACCTTGAATAACCTTGAATTACGTAATCTTGATTGCATTTACAATACACAGAAATATATCTGAATAGATCGAAGACATTTAAAGACTGTTTTAACAATCAATCATCGGTTATTAAACGTAAGATTTGATGTTGATATTCATGTTGAATTCATGAGTCAATTCAAGCTAGACTGAGTATAAACCGATAGGTACTGGTTTCGAATTCCACGAGAGAGATTATGGATGTGTACTGTCAATGAGTTCCATACTAGGACGAAATGACCGTTCAATGCTTCCAGGTTCCACATGGTGGTCTATCTTTAATTGATTCATGAATTCATCTATTTAGTTGATCGGACTTCTACCAATGCTTCCATAATCAAATTTTATCATTCAGATACATTTCATGTTCTTATTAGGTTGATTGTTTAATATTTCATAGCTGATAATACAATATAGATAGAAAGACGTTCGTAAAAGTTCAGTGATTCATCATCGGGTAGTGATAAATTTCTCATTTGTCTCGTCATAAGCATTGCTAGTCGAAGATTCTGTTGATTAAAATGCAATGTCGTCAATAATCTGTGTGCTTCTATATTGTGTGTACAAAGTTATATGTTAGATGGCTTGAGTTAGCCGATACAAAATAAAGTAAGTATCTGAGTGGCAAAGTTTTTCAGTTATAGTCTTAACAACACATTGACACTTAGTTAAAACTATGAAGCTCAGTAACTCAAGTTCAACCACAAAATATATCGTCTATTCTTCGATAGTTACATGTGTACTTAGGACCTGAGTAGGAATGCGAACGGTGCATCTTTTCTTTCTATAGTCAGGTAGATTTCTACCGCGAAATAGTTGAGCAAGATATATCTATTCAACAGTCAACTGATAACTTCTATGAAATTAATATTTTTGAACAGGAACACACATAATGCAGACGTGTTTATTTATTTATTTTAACACATAAATATTGGTACAAAGAGGCACCAAATATATATGCGCCATACAAATGTCACTTGATATGTGTGAGGGCTGGGATACTGCCCGGGTGCCAAAACCGAAGTAGGTGGTTTTCTCAGAAGCCAAACCCGGAGCCTTCGACCTGATGGTCTGATCCACAAGGCAGTGGAGCAATGTCAGGAGATGTGGTCCATGATGGCCGGTAACCAACGATCGGTCCATACGCCATTTGTTCCTTCAGGATACTGGAGCCCATATACACCATTGGTTTGGAATCCGGTTAAAGCGCCGGACATTCGCTTTTCTTCTTCTCAGTTTTGTAAACAACATCCCCGCCACGAGAAGGCAGTGAGTAGGACTTCCCTTGCAGGGGCTACATATGCGTGGCCATGTGAGAGCATTTCGAGATGGAGGGCGGACTCTCCCGACTCTCAGCCGTACCAGGGCATTTGGGGGCATACAGACGTAGGTGGTAATAAGTCCTGTCAGATTAGATTGATTTATGAACTTTCAAATCTCCATGATGTAATTTACGCGATGGATTGACAAATGACGAATGAAAAATATATCATGATCAATATAGAACTTCATAATGTTTTATTGTTTCATTATTTTTCCAAATGTACAGAAAGGTTATTGGATCATCCAGAAGATAAATGTTTTGAATTTATACCACACGATGATAAAGGTAATGTTAACATAATAATTCATATAATCCCACACTACTTCACATATCTGAATAATTTTATATTTTAATTCATGAGTGAATTGAAGCTAGAACACCATGAAAAAATTTGGAAGCAATGGATGACTGTTTCGTCTCAGTATGGAACTCATCAGCGATGTGAACCCACGATCCTGTCTCGTGTGATTCAAATTTAGGATCGATCGATCTCGCACGTGAACTCTTAACCTCTAGATCACTGAGACGATCGTCATCCAACGGTGTTAATGTCTAACTTCAACTAATCCACGAAATTGAGCGGCACATCCATCATTGTCATCAGTGAGTTACTATCTCACAACAGACATGGTTGTACTCTACTGGTCACTGCTTCACAGTAGAGCTCCAACAAATACCTCTTGGAGACAGTCACTAGTGAGCGTATGGCTATTAAAAGAAGTGGGTTTTGTAAAGTTTTTTAGTAATTTTATAGTTGAATTGATAAGTCAATTGAATCTAGACAAACATGGATAACCTGGAAGCATTAGACAGCCTTTCCGTCCTAGTTATGCACTCCTTAGTAGTGCGAACGCACGATCGCGCCTCGCGAGGTTCCAATTCAGGAACTATCACTTTAGCGCGTGAATGCTTAACCTCTAGACCATTGAGCTGGAACCCAATGTCTAACTTCAACTAATCCACAAAATTAAGTCACCGTCCACTATTGTCTTCAATGACTTACTATCTCCACACACTGAGAATGTTCAACTGTATTTCTTATTTATTGACAAACAAATATGTTAGAACAACTTACCATTCGAATGTCATAGAAACTACATTATCTTCCTTTCATTCATTAAAGACACAAATATACTATCTCACTATTGACATATTCCAATGATTAAGCTTCTTTAGCTATGAAGTTATACATCATGAAGTAAATTCATTACCCAGTTACAAAACTTAATCCATTACTAGCAAGACTATCATTTATGGACGAATCAATCAGATATAAGTTAACAGGTCTCGAACTTTGACATGAAGTTCATTCATCCATTTAACTAAATAGCATCTTAAAAACCTTACATATAATCACCAACTGTAAAACATAATTCTAATGCTTCTGCCAGGGAAGTCCTACTCACCGCCTTCTCGTGGCATCACTGTTGTTCACGAAAATGAGAGGACGTAAAGCGAATGTCCGACGCTTTAACCGGATTCCAAACCAATGGTGCACATGGGCTCCAGTATCCTGAAGGAACAAATGGCGTATGCACCAATCGTTGATCACCGGCTACCATGGGACTGCATCTCCTTACGATGCTTCACTACCTTGTGGATCAGACCTTCAGGTCGAAAGCTCTGAGTTTGGTTCCCTCAGAAAACCACCTACTTCGGTTTGGAAACGCGGGCAGTATCCCAGTTCTCACATATATCGAATGAGATTTGTGTGGCGCATATATATTTGGTGCCTCTTTGTACCAATATCTATGTGTTAAAATAAATAAAATAAATTCCTTACACATTGGTTTTATAACGCTCATTTAGTCCTAATTATTAAGTGGAAACTCTCAAAATCAGTTTAGCATCAGTCAAAGATTGTCCATAAATTTTAATCTCACTACATTACTGACTTATAAATTAGAGAGATCATGACCCCATAACCGAGCACTTATGATTTCTATGTAAATATTTGAAATATTTGAGGTAACCATGGTAACTAATTAATAAATCAATAATAAATCGATATAAATTGTAAAAAAATGTATTCTGTTTTTTTGTGTTTTTTTTATATATATAGATAATGTTATAAATTTTGGAGATAGTGGTTCTTTAAATAGTTTAATTGATACAAGGGTCTCTAATATTTATTGGATGAATATTGTTTCATGTAAGTTAGATACATAGAATAATTCATATTTCAACAGTTTAGATAAACCTGTCAGTGATTCAATAGGTTAAGCGTTCACATGCGAGACTGATATGTTGTGGATTTGAATGATGCAAGCGAGATCGTGGGTGCGCACTGCTGAGGAGTCCCCCCAATAGGACGAAACGGCCGTCTAGTGCTTTCAGGTTTTCACTGATGGTTTGACATCAATCGGTCCATGATCTTAATCAAAAATCTGTTCTTGTTATATTGAATTGATAGTAGATCACAGTTACGATTGATGTATGATGTATCCAAAGAGGATTGCCTCTATATTATCCATTATGAGAAAAATCTATATAGAATAGTTGAATAAAGGAAGAGTATTTTATTTCATTTGAAACAAAGTTATATAGATATATTGAATTTATGCAAATTTCATATTACTTAACTTTATTTACTACGGTTACTTCATCATTGAGGAGCATAGGCTGCTCACTAGCACTCTCCATCCAAATCTATCCTGGGCAATTCTTTCCAGTTGTTATTCAACTTTTTTATATCTGCTTCTATTTCTCGAAATAATGTGTTATTCGGTCTTGATGTTCTCTGCTTTACCTCAGGATTCCAAGTTAGAGATTGATTCGTGATGTAGTTTGATGATTTGTGTAATGTGTGTCCTATCCATTACCATCGTCTTTTCATAATTTCCTCTTCAATTGGAAGTTGGTTTTTTCTTTCCCACGGTAGTTTATTGCTGATGATATCCGGTCAACAGACATTCAGTATCTTCCATAGACAACTATTTATAAATACTTGTACCTTCTTGATGATAGTTATAGTAGTTCTTCAAGTTTCAGCTCCATACAATAGAACTGTCTTGAATTTCTTATTGAAGATTGTGTCTTTGATATTGGTTGACAGTTGTTTTGAGTTCTATATATTCATCAACTGGAAGAATGCTGTCTTTGATTCGCCAGTCTTCGCCTTTACGTCTGCATCTGATCCTCCAAGTTTATTGATGATGTTCAGGTACCTGAGAAATTCCACATGTTTGTCTATCAAATGTAATTGGGTTGGTGTTCTCCGTGTTGTATTTGAGGATCTTGCTTTGCCTTTATGTATGTTGAGGCATGCTGATTCAGAGGCTGCTGCCACACTGTTTGTCTTGACCCTCATTTGTTGGTGTGTATGGGATAGAAGGGTCAAGTTATCTGCAGAGTTCAAATTGTCTAGTTGATTCCGGGCTGTCCATTGTATTCTGTGCTTCCCCTCAGATATGGAAGCCTTTGTAATCCAATCAACCACCAGAAGAAGGAGAAGAGGGGATCAAGTAACCTTGTTTGACTCCAGTTCTTACTTTGATTGCATCTGTCACCTGTCCTCTATGCACGACTTTGCAATGTAGTCCATCGTGAGTTTCGGATATTGATGACAATCTTCTCGGAAACTATATAGTGTCCAAGATGTTTCCATAATGTTCTCCTATCTACACTGTAAAATTCTTTCTCATATTTAGTGAAATAAATGTATACTGACAAGTTCCACTTAACTGATTGTTCGAAGATGATCCGTAGTGTTGCAATTCGGTCTGTGTACGACCGATGCTTACGGAATCCAGCCTATTGATCTCAAAGTTGAGCGTCTACTGCGTCTTTCATCCGGTTCAGCAACACACTGTTGAAAACGTTTCTTTCTATCTATACCAGTGTGATTTTTCTGTAGTTCTCACATTTGCTTAGATCTTCTTTTTTGGCATCTTCATGAGGTATCCTTCTTTCCAGTCCGTCGACAATTGTTCCACCTCCCAAATCTTCTTGAATAGAAAGTGAAGCATGTTTACTGTTACTTCTATGTCGGACTTTACTGCTTCACCTGGTATATTGTCAGGTCCTGTTGCTTTCCAATTCTTGATTTATCCGATGGCCATCTTGATTTCTTCGATTGTTCGTAGAGTGACATTCCGCATTTCACTGTTAGTCATATTTATTCGATTGTACATTGATTGATTCTGTATTGATTGAATGTGCTCCAATTTAGCATGTATTCTATATATTTTTTAGTTGAAAACAAATGTCTAACAGAAATTACCAAGGAAATTTCACATCAATCTAAAACACGTAAGTAACAGTTCGACCGCATCAATGAACGTATCACAGTAAAAGTTATGAAGCGTTTGAGGAATATTGAGAAACCGGGCATTTTAAATGTTACTAAGGATTTGCTTAAATTATTATCACTATTATATCCAAATAAATTAATGGGTTTGTAATCATTAAGGCAACTCCGTCTGGAGCTCCTCCGGGGGCTACTGCCAGTCTTAAACCTGAATAAAGAAGGAGGGTTGGACATGAGTTTAGCGACTCCATCCTGTAGAAAACTAACTTGCTAAATAAAACGCTAACCAGTAATCGTTAAGGCACCTGAACGAAATCATATTGCATTCGACCATTATGCTGTATAGTTGAAAACACTGGACGGCCGTTTCTTCTAGTGACCATTAGATTTCAACTAGGTCTGTTGTGAGACAGTAACTCACTGAAAACAATGGTGGACAGTGGAGCAATTTCGTGGATTAGTTGAAGTTAGATATTTACACTATTAGATGTCAACTCAGTGATCTAGAGGTTAAGAAATCTAGCGAGCGCAATCATGGATGCACACTGTTGAGAAGTCCAATACTAGGACGAAATAGTCATCTATTGCTTCCAGGTTATCCATGGTAGTCTAGCTGCAATTGACTCATAAATATAATTATTAACAAGTGTTTAGCCTGCTGTAGTTTGATAGTCTACATGTACCTGTGATAGCAAGTCAATAGGAAAGATAGAGAGAAGACCATTTACAAGATCTTTTGAACACAGCTTTAGGAACCTACGACGGAAAAAAGTAAAGTCTATACAAGTGTAATTGCCAGACATCTTGTCGATAGTTGACACGAGGTGAATGTAAGTGATACATTCAATCATCGATCTTACTCCATCTTGCACAGGCGATTGTCATCAAATCTTTCCAAACTAACTTACACCTACAGAAAAAAATGTTTGATTAGCCTTTCTCTACCATAGTGATTGGATATTTGTCTAATAACCTGTGGTAATCTTAATCTTCTCTTTTTCAATACAGTCTCCAACCTTTTATTATACTATCGTCTTCTGATATTCATCTCTTACAAAATCTGATTGATATTCCCAGATTTTTATATTCTGTCATATTGAACGATTAGCTAATCATTTCACTATTTTCAATAAGAAAGTCAAGACAGTTCTATTGTATGGAGCTGAATCTTAGAGAACTACTACAACTATAATCAAGAAGGTACAAGTATTTATAAATAATTGTCTATGGAAGATACTGAATGTCTGTTGACCGGATATCATCAGCAATAAACTAATGTAGGAGAGAACAAACCAACTTCCAATTGAAGAGGAAATTATGAAAAGACGATGGTAATGGATAGGACATACATTACGCAAATCATCAAACTGCATCACGAATCAATCCCTAACTAGGAATCCTGAAAGAAAGTGTAAAAGAGGAAGACGAAGGAAGATATTGCGTCGGTAACTATAAACGAACATGAAAAGCATGAATATCAACTGGAAACAACTGTAAGGTATAACTCATGACAGAGTTCGATGGAGAATGGTGGTGGGCGGTCTAGACTTCTTTATGCTGGGTATCAGGCGTAAGTATGTTTGTAGAATCCAAGAATCATGCATCGATACTTGATTTGCAAAATATTCATCACCTGTCTCAGACTTTTTTTGCTCTTCCGTATCCATACTAATCACTCTCTGTTCACATTCTCTTCTCTTCGATTTTCTCAACCTTTTATCTCTAGGCATTCCACATTCTATGGGTATTACATAATATTTATATCTGTCGACATCAGCAGCACATACCATAATAATAACAATTCCAGTTTTGTCAGAAGAGGTTTTGTGGAGATTTTAAAAATTTCTCTGATTCAAATCATGAGTCGATTGAAGCTAGACCACCATGGAAAATCTGGAAGCACTTGGCGTCTGACGCGAGACCGGTAGGTCCTGGGTTCGAATCTTACGGGGTGCGGGGGTCTTGGATGCGCATTGCTGAGGAGTCCCATACTAAGACGAAACAGCCGTCCATTGCTTCCAGGTTTTCATGGTAGTCTAGCTTCAATTGACTCATGATTTCAAGCAGTGAAATTTCCGTTGTGTATATTTTTTTCCATAAAAATTAATACCAATGTTTACCTTTACTAAAGCATTTATTGGACAGCATTATAATACACTTAGTTTTATATCTTTCGCATAATAACTGAAATCATCATGAACACACATTTTTGATTGAGATCATGAACTGATTGATGTTAGACCATCATTGAAAACCTGGAAGCACTGGATGGATGTTCCATCTTATTGTGGGACTCCTCATCAGTGCACATACACTATCCTGCTTTCATGGTTCAAACCCTGGATCATGATCTCAATTAAAAACTTAATAGTTTTAATGACCCCACACTGACCACGATATTCAATCCATTTATTATTTATAGTCACTTAAACATTATGATGGGTTACTGATATGGTATGAAGGGTGTAGTTCAACTATATTTTATATGAAACACTTATACACCTCACATCTTATGGAAGATGATCGTTCAATATAGTGAATTAATTAGAGTTAGGTGTTCGTAATGTTGTAATGAACAGAACACAGGTGGAGACTTATGTCAATATAAGTAGCACACACCACAATGTAATCAAGTGATTAGTGATTTGATCAACAAACTGAAGTTGTTTGATCTTATTTCCACTTTGAAGATCATGAATAGTCATTAATGTGGAATTCCATGATGGTGTAGCAAAGATCAGTTATTGATCTAAATATACATTAAATCAATATTGCCAATCGATACTAATATAGATAGAATTGAGAAAAATTTGATTGTATTAGGGATTTTCTAATTTCTTCTTTTCAGTTAAGACTGAAACAGAAAAACCGGAAGATCAGTTGAATATATCAACGACAACAACAACAACACTCACTCCATCGACTATAACACAACAAATATTAATACAAAATGTAAAACCTACAAACAAAGGTGAGTTACGTTAGTGTTCTTGTTGATTACTTTTTTATTACATTCTACTTATTGACATTTATATAGACTTACTAACTTACTCTTGTTACTCCTCGTGGAGGAGCATAGGCCGCCCACCACCACTCGCCATCCAACCCTATTCTGGGCAATCTTTCCCAGTTATTATTTAACCTTTTTATATCTGCTTCTATTTCTCGATGTAATGTGTCCTTTGGCCTTCCTCTTCCCATAAAAAACGAACTCGTTAAAAAAACACACGCTAACTTATATACATAAGTACCCAGTAATTCGTCTAGTTCTCTTAATCTCTGCTAATCTATCTCATGAGTTCGGTAACGCCTATCTGTATAATAATAATAATAATATCATGATTATATCCAAATTCATCAAAGTGGTGTGAATAACTTGTCGTATATACCATTATTATCTATCCCTATTGTAGTTGGTGACTCAAACTTGATTGTTCCTTTTTTTGCAAATATCAACTGTCAATCGTCTTCTGACTTCACTATTCTTACAATTCCATACCAATTGCTTTCTGATCCCACTCTTTCCATCTCTATGTTCTTGACCTACTACTGCCAGAGATTCTTGTCTTGACTAGTGTTATATACTACTTATGTCGATATAAGTAGCAAACATCACATTAACTAGCATCTTAGTTCTAAGCCCGTATCAGCATCCACAGAACAGCACTCCTGATGGGCCCTGACATCAGAAGTAGTAAACAACTGATTTAAACATACAAATATCATTCTTTTGTTTTAGTTATCAATGGTAATGTTTCAAATACAAACCAAGTTAATGAAGTAAATACAGTAAAGAATGAAACAATCAAAAATCATACACAGTCTTCACTCTCTGAAAATTCATCATTTGAAGGTTAGTTTTACCATTTATCAGCCAAGTTTTATGTTACGTTTATATATGTACTGTCAACTGGATTCAGTTATTAATTCTAACTTCTTAGAGAAATGTTGAAATCATGAATAAAGTTAAGTTAGATCATTAGTGAAAACTGCTAGGTTTGAAGCTATCATGAGTTCACTTCATCTGCGAACGAGAACACAGACTCAGTAACCAAAGATCAGTAAGCTAGTTATTTGATGCGTTCCAGCACCGCTAACTAGAAGGAGAAGTCAAAGCTTGGAATGGAAAAGTATATTCTGCAAACAACCAGAAACGAGTGATCACACAATGATCCACAAATGGATCCCAAAAATCACCACTCATTATTCTTATCAGGGCATAACAAAAACTTGGAAGTACTAGATGATTATTTTATTCTAGTATGAAAATCTGATGAGATCATAATTGATGGACGACCTTTGATCAATGTTAAACTGACCTTCGAGAGTGTCTAGCTACTTACTAAAGTTAAATGAAGGTCATCAAGCAATTTGAAGAATAACGATCATAATTTACAGTGGATGGTTAGAAATTAGGGATTAGATTTACGGTTTTCCATCACAAACTGTCATCAGCTAAAATGCTAAGACGCTATTCGGCCAAATAGGTGTATGAATTTCGCGCCAAACTCTAAGACCTATTATCATAAATCTAATTGATTTGTTCATAAATTATACTCTCACTGAAAATCTTTACCAGTACATATCCACTATTCAACATCCGAAGATCAATCATTGAACTGATCATCTTTAACAGTGTTATAGTTTAACTTCAATTCACCCCATAGCATGACTTGCTTTTTTAAATTACCTTTCGTAACTCAGAAAACTGTCATCCTTTTTTGTTGTTGTTGTTGTTGTTTCTTTCTCTTTTATTATTACATTTAGGTTATATTTATCTAATCTATTTGCTTATTAGTATAGTATTAGCAATATTTATTATTGGAGCAGTCTATTTCTTGTGTACATATTCAAAGACTATTTCATCTTGATCAAAAAATGTTAATTCATATTGACTAATCGGATTGTTTTTATTCAACTTTATTCATTAAAATAAAGTTGTTACTATGGAATTTATGTTTATTGTGTTTATTGTAGAATGATGATCGGATGTTCTCTTATCAAGATAACTAAAACAGACTAGTTCATTTGGTGAGACTCTAATTTATAGACGAGCCAATCAGAAGCGTATTAGAGATTTCAAGGTTACGGTGCCAACTTCAGTGCTTAAGGCTAACGTACGATCGGTTATAACAAATAAAATGGCGAGACCATAATTTGTGAACGAATCATTCAGGCATAAGATAATAGATCTCGCATTTTAACGCGAAAGCCTTTCATCCTTTTGGTTGAATAAATTTCTGGCATTATAGCTGATGTCAGTTCGTGATGAAAACCCTATATATATAATTCCTAACTGAGGTAAATTATGACAATGATTGCGAACTGGATAATAAAAGCACCAATAACATTGGCTGCACTCAGGTACTACAATAAATACGGATGATTGGAGAGCGTACAGCCTCCTACATACGCTTGGTTATGTGCATCGTGTCGTTATCCACAAGTAGCATTTTGTGCACTCAACAACCAGAAGTGCATATAAACAAAATTGAAGTTATGTGACCGAGGTTGAAAGAGTATTTGAGACTTTATCATGACTCGAGCTTCCGACTATTCTGTAGCGGTATGGATGATTTCCTCTACTGGATGCATTTCCATTTTAGAACCTCTGAATCTCTTTCTAACCTTGACAAGTTTTTGAACCACGTATAAGAAGTGAATCCAATTTATTTCTTTGGTTTTGTATCACATATTTTTACTCCATACGGACTGTTTGCTGATTGTCTAATATTTCTCACGGTCACTAAAGTTTCGTTCAATGATCATCCATAAATTAGAGTCTCGCTGTTCATTTTTACAGTTCAATTCATGGGTCTGTTGAAGCTAGGCCAGTATGGAAAACCTTGAAGCAATGGATGACTGTTTCGTCCTAGTGTAGGACTCCTCAGTAGTGCGCATCCACGATCCCGCCTCGTGAGATTCGAACCCAACCCTTCAGTCTCGCGCTCGAACACCTAACCTCTGGACTAGTGAGCTGATCGATATCCAACGGTATTGATGTCTAACCCAAACCAATCCATAAATTTGAGCCACTATCCACCATTGTCTTCAGTGAGCTACTATCTCACTACAGACTCCGTTGAACTCCACTGGTTACGGTTTCGTACTAGAATTCTATGAAATACCATTTGAAGCCAGTCACTAGTGAGCATAATATGATTATTATCAGAAGTGGGTTTCATGGAGATTTTTTAGCAATTTTATAATTGAATGGATGAGTCATTTAAGCCATACCACCATGGAACACTTGGAGGCACTGAACGGCCCTTTCGTCTTCATATGAGACTCCTCAGCAGTGCTCATCCACAATCCCAGAAAATGATGAAACACGCATCCTGGATTCCACTGCTAGTTATTATCCACCTGTGCTGATTGAGAAGATTGATGAAAATGAAATAAGTGATGTATTTATAACATCTTAGTGAGTAGAAAATTGAAGTTACGACGTTTCATGCTCAAGTTTCAGTTAGTTCTTTAGAGCATCAATGATCAAACTGCTCACTTACAAATATTCTTTTGTTCATTTATTCGAACACATAAATATTGGTACAAAGGGGTACCGAATACATATACGTCACATAAGTCACTTGATTTGTGTGTAGGCTATGATACTTCACGAGTGCCCAGACCAGAACAAACGGTTTTCTTAAGAGTCCACACCCGGAACCTACGACCTAAAAGTTTGATCCACAAAGCGTTAAAGCAACGTCAAGAGATGTAGTCCCCTGGTAGCCGATGACCAACAATTGATTCATACGCCATTTGTTCCTTCAGAATCCTGGAGTCCATGTGTACAAATATTCTAACTGTCAAAGTTTAATTAAACAAGTATAAGTGATTTGATTTCATTTGTGCCTACAATCTGGTGTCAGACAATGTTCAATGATGTTAGTAACAAAGATACTGGTTTTCCCTGTTACATCCTCTACTAATTGCAGCAGAACATGATCTATAACTAATGGCAGTCATACTTGTAGTGTATGTGTGCTACTGATGTCGATAGATATAAGTAGTATGTCACACCAATCGAAAGTGAAATACCTTGGGGTAGAAGATTAAGAAGATCGAATAAAAGAGAATGAGGACAGAGAGGGATTGATGTGGAAACGAAGGAATATTCAAGTCTGAAACGATTGATTGACACTTTGTAAATGAAGTATTCACTGTATGTTTCTCAGATTTTGTAATCAAATCCATTTGGTTGACCTCGCCTTTGTTCTTGTTCACTACAGTAGGACCCAACAGTTATAAATCAAAAGTTGGAAGGAGCAAAGGAAGTGATTATTGAGTAAAAATTTTAAAAAAATGTACAGTTATTAGTATTGGCTATAACATTTATGGGTCCCTTTAATTTTCTAATCATTTAGATTGAAAGATTTTGTCGAAAGGGCTCTCCATTTTAGTGGCCCGAGATTTGACTCCAAGAAGATCGTAATGAATGTTTGTTATCGCCTATGCTGGTTTATAATGGTCGACTTTAATCGTGTTAGTCAATATCGAAATTAAGTAAGTCAAATAAGGAGAATGGACTTGTGAATACATATATTTCGTATATAAAGCGAATGGAATAGAGAGAAGAGAAACGACACAGAGTGGAGATGGCTGGTAAGCCAACTCTCCTTTAACCAAGCGTTAATGAACACTTATAGTTACACAAAAGTAAATTATAGACATGTGATGAGTAATGGGAAAATAAGTGTTCACACACCTAAGCGCTCATATAAAGGCAGTCAAGATTGATAAGCGAATAATTAACAAGTTCAACATGTGACTCAAGTAGGATGAATAGAATGGGCGTATTCGAAAGCTAGAATAAAGTATATGAGCTTAACACAATAACCGACAATACACATTGATGTAATTCAGCCAATTCGTAAGGAGGCAAGTTATGCTGTCGTCTAGTCGTAGGATACTGTTTTGATATTTTCAAAGACTCTTACAGGTTCTGATTGAATTATTCACTGAAACTTCGGTTTCCATTGCACGGAACCTTATAGTTTACAAAATGTACATAATCAGGATCTTTGTGTCGCTGATGTCAGCTAATCGTTTTATAGTTAATGAGGACGACATTTGACTGACTCTGATTTGGCCTTGAGAATGTTCGCCTACTTACCAAGGCTAAATTGGAGTGATAAACCTGTGTAAAGAATGAAGATTATGGTTTACAGTTGATAGTTAAATTTAGGAATTCGATTTAAGGGTCTCCATCGCAAACTGACATCAGTTAGAATCCTAAAATATCTTTTAACCAAATGAATGAATGCGCCAACATCCAACACCTCCATAAGTCGATAATCTCGCCTTTAATGGACAGTCATTGACTTAATGAAGAGGATATTATAATATTTAATGAAATAAACGGAAGCACAGAAGTATTACAATATCAAAACACCAAAAAATCAGTCATTCAAAGAATGGGATCTAAATACACATATGCTACTTCATAAGTGTATAACGTTTCAAGCCTTCACACCTATTCATAAAGGGTATGAAACATTCTTGAATGTGTCATTCGTAAGGTTCTAATCATATTCGACTTAGCTCAGACTAAGTTCTTGTCGGAGATGTTAGATCCTCAGAACGCACTTAATAAATACCTTGATTTTGTAATTTTATTTCGAAAATGTGAATTTCTTTGGTTTCGCGACGAAAGTGCACTTTACACCTGTAATGTGGCGTCGAGTCGCGGTTGACGATGATCACCACTACAAGAAGACTACGTTCCAGTTTACCGATAAGATCCCCCATAAGCCAAATATCAGAAGACAGTTGATGACTGTAGTCGAGATGTATTTGTTGACGATCTCGTAGCATCGAAAGAATATCGAGATTGTGCCAGGTTACAAGTGTGG